ACCAACACACAGCGACTTGTCTACCAAGCAGCGGGCACTATAAGGCAGTAATGTGGGCCTTTTCTGCCTCCATATAGCCAGTCAGCTGTGCTTTTTCTCGGCACAGTTTACGCTCCGTTTGCAGCAGCAGCAGCGACAATCTGCTGAAGCTAAAGGCTAACGATTCGCTCTGTATCCAAACCTGGGGAAACAGCGACGGAAATCGCTTATACAGAAGGCCTAATTATGACCCAAACTGTGTTAATATGACTACAAATAAGTAAAATATCCTCACCGCATCAATTTCCCTTCTCTACGTTAGATCCAAGATGGCTGTGTGTATTCACAATCGAAAGAATGATAGCCTTTACCCTCTGACCTTACAACCGGCTGACCACTTCCGTACACAAATCTGAAAATATGAGAAAGTGCACTCCGTTAGTCCCACAGAGACTAAACAGACACCAAGAACTGAACAAAACAAAACACATAGAAAAGTGTTTGCTTTTAGCAGGGAATATAAATAAGGCACCGCCGTCTCTACCTCCTTCCTGTGATCATAATAACGTGTCTTTGCATTACAATACTGTGAATCTGCATTCAATACAGACATAATATGCCTCTGTTATTAACATTGTCAGGATATCCAGATAAAATATATTTGGTCAACTGTGTTCCTCAAGATATTGGCATTAGATTCCGATTTCAAGCTGTTTTTTCTCAGGGCCTTACCAAACAGGCAAATTGTCCACCAGGGGACCCTAAAGTTCCCTTCATTACTTTGTATTCATTTGTTTTCTAGTTGTTTTCTACTTACAAAACCCAATAAGCATTTTTTGCTACATATTTCCCCTGACAGGTTGATTAGCATGATCCTCAAATATTGAGTTGTTATTATACATATCCTTTTGTTGCAACATTTGAATTAGAGTGACCATGTATTGCTGCCTCTTAGCTTTTAAGTAGGTATGATTAAACCTGAAGGCTCATGGACCTTTTTTTCCACCACAAATGTTGACTAGTTATGGCAGAAAAAGCAGGTCAAAGATCAAATGAATAAAGACAAAGGGAAATTAATAAGACATGTGCTCCTCCTGCTATTACATAGAAACATTTCTGGCACAAAAAAGGTTTACTAACGTAGTTACATTGTTATTTCTGTGTACTCGGTATGGGTTGCACTGTTGCCTGCTTGAGGCGCCCACGCAGTGGATAAGGGGAAGGACAAGTGCTAAAAACAGTCTGTCAGTGAGTTAAAACAGACAAGGGCCAAGCAGTGTCCCCTTCTGATAAGGAAAATTAAATTCCTTCTCAGTATTATCTATTTGGAAAATAGCCCTAATGAAGGTATGCAACATAGCATAGTAAATCACACCTCAGGCAGTCCAGGAGTAAACCCTGCTCCAGGAAAGATAAAGAGGAAATTATATTGGGCTTTAATGCCTACATTGAAAACTGAAATATGAGCACCTGCATTTGGAGGGGTATGGCACTGATGTCTTCACTCAACAATGATTGCACAGTTGATGTTCAAACAGATGAAATGTGGCACTGACAAAACACAGACCTGCAGAGCCATGCACCCTCCACCACACCTCACTACACCTTTCAGTTTTCATGGGGACCTGTAAATTAATTTCCCTTCCCTTCAAAAACACCCAATCATTTACTTCAATTGAGGTCAGAGCAAAACACAAAAAACTCTCTCCCTGTGAACATTGACAAATTCTCGAAATTATTCCACATTACAGGCCCACTTGTCTGGCCCAGTGGAATACACCCAAAACTGCATCTGGGCCCGATTATAACATCATGTAAATGACCTTCACTGCTCTTTCATCACAACGCATGGTTGCTTGTACCCTGCCCCTCCCTTTGTCTCCCTCTCCCACCTCTGTCATCTCAGAGAAGAAGGGGGGAAAGTCATTAGGCACAAATGGGGAGGAGAGAGCTAGTGGTTGCTATCGCCATGAAAGTCAGGGCAAAGCTCAGAGCCACTGAGCGATATGAGAGGACTACACTGGGGAATATCTGCCCTGGGAAAATAATGTTTTCAGCCCATTAAGTTGGATAAACAAATGGCTTACTGTAGGTGCTGAAAGGCGTGGACACCAGCAGGAAAACAGTGGAAAGTAAGTGTTTTTAATTGTCATACGATCATCTTTACGCTTAATATGGTCTCTGTTTCCTTGCTGATGGTTGTTTTCTTTGTTATTTTCATGGCTTTTCTCACATGCAAGGGTGTACTTCAACGTCATAATCAAGTTATTTCTGATATGCAGTCTCATATGCTAATGTAGTACAACAAAGATGCATTACATTGTTGCAACTTTGTTTTGTTTTTCTCAAGATCAATAACTCCAGAAGGGCGGTGGAGCAGCATTAATGGGATGCCATGATATTTACTTGAAGACGCCAACTGCCTACCTCAGTGAAACCCTTTGTCTGGCACTAAATTGATGAGGAGGACCAGTGGTGTTTCAGAGGCTGGTAGAGATGGGTAATGCCATGCGGGGCGTAGTTGCGTTAATTCCCTCAGAGCGCTGTCAACGCTTCCTGGTGGGGGACCTGAAGGAGATGCCACTTGATCGGACCCTGGACCTCAGCAGCCGGCAGTTGCGTCGGCTACCTGTTGCTGCCTGTGTTTTCGGTGAGCTGGTAAAGCTCTACCTGAGTGACAACAACCTCAGCAGTTTACCAGCTGATCTGCAGGGCCTGAAGAAGCTGCAGCTCCTTGCCCTCGACTTTAACTGCTTTGAAGAGCTCCCTGCAGCTGTTTGCAGACTGCCTCAGTTGAGCATCCTTTACCTGGGCAACAACAGGCTCTACAGTCTCCCCAGAGAACTAAGAGAGCTCACAGAGCTTAATACTCTGTGGCTGGAGACTAATTGCTTCACTGTTTTCCCTCAGGTGATTTGTGAGCTCCCTAATCTCAAGACCCTGCACCTTGGTTATAACCAGATACAGAGTTTACCAAGAGAGCTTGGAGTGCTGGAAGAGCTGAGAAGTGTCTGGATTGCTGGGAACCAGCTGGCAGCGTTCCCACCAGTGTTGCTGGAAATGCACTTTCTAGCCGTCATTGATGTTGATCGGAACCAAATACGCTACTTCCCCTGCCTGTCTCACATGCTGGGGTTGAAACTTGTCATCTATGACCACAACCCCTGCTTTAACGCCCCGGTGGTGGGCGAGGGATGCAGGAGAGTCGGGCGCTGGGCAGACAGCTCAGATGATGAGCAGGAAGATGATGGGTCAAAAGCAGCGGGTGACACTACAGTAGAGGTCACAGAGATACACCCTGAGGAGGAGCACAACATTTAGGGTCAACGAACAAAGTGACCTGAAGCTGTGACGAGGCGTGGGTGACATTCAAGTGGAACACTTGACGCTGAGTGGTGTGTTGTACACAAGGCTGATGGCATGTGGTCTATATATGGTAAAGGAAAGTCGTTGTAAAAACTATGTGAGTCAAAGGGGACGTTTGATAATGATTCTATAAAATGTTGGGGCCTTATTTGAATTAGTAAAACTCTGTAAATGGATTCAATGAAAGCTTCAGTGACATTGGAAATGTAATTCCCACCAACATCAGATGTTCTGTAATTCAAACATTTTAAACATCTTTATCTCATGGTATTAAACATATATCTTGTGATCTTTCCAAGTTGTGTACAATGAATCCATCAGAACTGGCATTTGTACAGTATGTCGACTTGATAAACTGTGTGAGTGCAAAAGACTTCTGTTAAATTGACAGCGCAGTTGGTCGGTATGGCAGAGATGGTGGAAATAGAAAGGATTCATTACACTCATCTGGTTGAAGCTGAGTATGAGATGATATCTGTACCTACTGAGGCCAAATACAGTGAGGTTTTTAATACAAGTGATGGATGGTTTTAATACAATTAGTGCACTCCTTATCCAGACCAATGCATAATTAATCGGATAGATTGGGGCTGTGGCTTTGAATAAAGGCTGCTAATGGGCTTCAATATCTTCAGCATGAGGTTCAGATTTGAAACAGATCGTAAATGCACTTTTCCAATTCCTCAGCATACCAGGAAAATGTTCTGCTAACAAGATGAAATGTCATCCCACAATGTATCATTTCAGAGATTTGGAATGCTTCTTAACGGAGTGTAGGAAAATAAATTAAGGTTGCACACCAGCCCTTTTCCTGGAAACGGGATTATTTCACACAGCATGAACACACTAAACTACTGTAAATTGAATGAAACAACTGTTTTATTTTTGCTGCATGTAATCCTAGAGGTTCTACGAACATGACATCATTCTAAGTTATACAAATGCTGTTCAGTGTGTGTAAAATGTACAAATCTCGATACTGTTACACTGCCCCCTAGCATACCTAAATTCAAAGACGTCACTAAATGTGGATTTTACAGTACTCTGGCTCTGGGTGTGACTAATAACTGGGCGCAGCGAGGGGCACTGTAAAATCTAAAATTGTGTTTTCATCAATGTGTATTTAATATCACACTTGATCAATTCTCAATTATAAATTGTCAATTGACAAGATTAGTCAAAACACTTACTGATTTTTAACCTAATGAGGATTTTATCAGAATGATATGAAAACACATTTTCAAGGTTTGCCTTATTCTATTATGTTAAAAAGAAAGGACTTTATCGTATTTGTATATGTGGTGTTTGGAGTAAGGAAATGTTTAATTATTGTTCGATAATCAAAATTAGCTAATTCAAAGATAACTTTGTTTTAGTCATTGTCATGTACACTTTAACAAAATAATGAAGTGTATTAATAGACATCCATTTTGTTTGAAAAAACGGTTACTGTTTTAAAAAATATTCTCTGATTTATTAACCTATACATTATCAATATACACTTCTATGAGAGTAATATAACTAAATGTTTGTATATGGTTGTCAGATTTGGGTTTCTAAATCTTAAATATATACAATCTCTTTCCTTGTAGGACTTTAATATGTTGCCACCCCTGTTAAAGCACAAAAATGTAAAGATATTTGCAAAAACAAAGTAATATTTTGAAGCGGCTTTATTGTTTGACAGGAATGTCACCCAAACATAAACAAGAAAGTTCATTTTTGATTGTTCAACACATGCACGTAGAGACAGTATAACATTAGGTCATTTGCAAGGATATTATTCATGACACAATCCAAATGTACTTACTATGATTACATCATATTTTACAATATCTTTGGTTCCGAACCCAACTTAACTGAACTCAAACTCTTAAATACATTTTTGCTTTAACCATAAACCTCCATGTGTTAAACACCTTTACTTTATAGCTCTCACAACCAGTATTTCAACAAAGTAACATCACTTACTGTTCCTTAATATTAAATACAAACATGGTTAATTGACAGACATATATTACTTAAAAGATCCATCTTACATTTCTTGGTGATTTGTCGTTATGAACTGAAATTGCAAAGTTTCAACTGCACTGTAACATATACTGGATAGAGAGGAATAATGACGATGCAATGGACACCAAGTAAAAGCGTTGAAACGTTTACTTCATATGCTGTGGCTGTAAAACCACCGTATTTACTGAGACAAAATGCCTCTTTTTGCAAGCTTAAAATGTATATTGAATCACAACATGTTCTTTATTTACCTCAAGCCGGACGCATTGCACATATTTCCAAAGGAGGTTATTAAAACAAAGACACTTTATGGGATCATTTTCCAAATCTAATTGGTCTGAGAGAGCCTCGGTGAATCACAGGGCTTGGTTTTGTGGATTCTCTAAAAGGGTGTGCAACATTCTTTCGACTGAAAGAACCATTTTAAACTTGCGTTTCAAGTATGCTGAAGCTACATTAGAACCCTGTCTACTGATATTTGACCTGGTAATACAGAGTGCGTACAGGCATAGAAGCAGTAAAACATGGACAGGTTCAACTAACTTTAAAAGGCTGTATTGCAATATTTGTGTAACAACTGAATAGTAATGCCACATTCCTGTAGGCATTACAATGGACAGTGGTATATCCTGCTATAGGCTTCATGAAAAGAAAGATGGAAAAACATAAGACTTTATAAGTGCTGTACACAATAAGCAGAAAGAAATGAGAAGAGCTCAAAGTTGCAATGAGGTAAAGTCTCCTCAACACGAGATAATAAGCATTCATTTGTTAGCTAAAACAACACAGGTATTTAGTTATCATGCATCTGCATCTATCCATCAGTGGGTTTGCTGAAGAGTGATGCAAAATGGAGCATATACTATTGGTGCTTAGGTTTTTTGCAGCGGCGTGGGTCACAGGCTCATCCAGGGCCCGGTTCTCTGTCGCAGGGTGTTCTCACCCTGGGAAGGCAACTGGCATCCCTCCAACCCGTCTGAGCCGTCTTCCCCCGTGGGCAACAAAGAGTCATGAGACCCTTCCTCTGACTCTTTCTCCTTGGTATCCGGTGCATCAGACCCTGAGGCATCTGGGATTTCTGGGGGCTCCTTTGACGATGCTTCCACCACCGTGTCATTTCCCTGAAAATCAGAGGCCTCGTTCACAGAACCAATCACTTGGGGAGAACAGAGGTCCTTCTGTGAATTTTCCTTATCCATGCGCTTCCGGGCCTCCTCTCTCCTCTGCTGGATTCGGGTGTTGTCCCCCATCATAACCCTTACTCTAACTTGCTCTGGAGGCCAGATCCCCCCCCAGATAAACTGCAGGTAGCTGAACAGCACAATGGCACTGAGGAAGGCTAAGTTGGTGGCCACGCCAATGACTGCAGATGTCAGGGGGAAGTTGTACAGAGCATATCTTATACCAGTGAAGTAAGCATGGATACGGAGTTGAGATGAGTAGACCTGCACTCGTTTGGACTGGATCTCAATGACTGCACCAACAGAGGGTTGATAAGCGTTTGTCTTGTAGTCTGAGAAGAGCTCAACCTGAATGAGCTGCTTCTGCTCAGACATGCCAGTCAGAAGGAAAGGAGAGAACAGTAAAGTGCCCAGGCTCTGCAGAAGGCTGGATCGGTAATGCAGCATTGTAGATCGGCCCACTGATGAGACAATCTTCCCGCCCTTGGTGTAGCAAGACATCTTGACCATGAACATGCCCAAGTGTTCATTGACAGGGGATTCGGGCATCTCTAACTCTAAAGACACCCGATAAGGCTGACCGTAAGCCATCACTTGGTCCCTCTCGTTCTTCATGAAGGAGATGTTGGCCATGGGGAATGAACAGAGTGTGGACTCCGAGGTATCACAATCTGAAGTGTAGTAGAAGTGCACAGGGGTGGAGAAGCTCACAGTGGGCATGTAGGAGTAGTAGAAGCTTCCATAGAGAAAGATGGACACCCATAGTAGCAGAAACAGGACACAGAAGAGGATGCCAGCCTGCAATATTGTCCGCCGGGCTTTGAGGAGGGTCACAGCTGCAACATCCTGCATCCAGTGTAGCACCGGTCCCACCGTAGCACCCATCGTGTCTGCTCCAGACCGTTGTTGGCTCCTTGTTTGTGAAGTTGTTCGTCCTTCAAGCACCCTCGACTGCTGCTGCCTCCTTGGTGGGTCTTTATATTCATTCATCGGTGGGCGTCTTCCCTCCGAAACTGTGAAATCGCTTATCTCCAGCCTCCCATGTCTGCTGAACTAACAACACACTCACTCAGCTCAGGTTGAGTTTTTTCTTGTTAAGCTAGATTGTTTTACAAATGTAAATAAGCTAACGTTACTCGGCAAAAATATCCACGACTCCGAAAGGTGATACGTTTTAGTTGTCTCCCAGACTCGTTTGGTGAGTTTCTAAGCTCGTTAGCAACTCAGCTAGCCTTTAAACATAGCTTCTGCTGTACACAAAACATGACCCTACGAACCGGAAGCTGATGTTCTCTTTCTTCTGTGCCACTCCGGAGCAGCAAGACAGAGCCGCAAGACAGAGCCGCAACACCGACGCCAGGGAAGGGAGCAGACCCAGACTGAGAGACTGCGATGGGTAAGAAAAGTCGCCTCACAGGCGGAGCGGTCGGTCGGAGAACGATCCTTCAGCTTTCACCTCCCGGGCTCCGCGGTGGAGAGAGGGAAGAAGCCCCCTCGGGATCTGATGGTATTCTTTACTGTTACCTCAGTGGCTTGTTAGCGACAGGCTAGCTGAATGCTAAATGCGTGAGGTGTGCAGATAGGGCCCATCTCGTAAAAAACGATGTATTCCACTAAATGCAGCTGCCACATTAATAACTTTCGCGAAAAAACAAGCAATTTTACGAAATATATCTCAATGATAGTAAAATGTTAGCTTATGAAACGAAATAATACATTTTTATTTTAGCTATTGGCTAACATGCTAAGTAAGCAAGCTAGTTTTTTGTGAACATGCCAAAACAGGCTTATGGCAAATCACTGGGCCAGCTTAACCACATGTTATGAAACTCCCTAATTAAAAATATACTGACATTTAACTTGGTTTAGTAGTGTGAGTGTGGTGTCTGTATGGGAGAATGGCGTTATCTTCTAGCTTAACTAGCTCGCTGTAGCAGCTGTTTAGCCCAATGCTAACCTCTGGGCTGACATTTTTGCAGACGAACAGGAGGGTAATGGACTCAGATTCGTGAGAGATAGAATAACAAACATGAAGATTCCCACAGTAAAGGCCACCGGTAAGAGTAAATGTGTCTATATGTGGAGCTGTTTTTCTTTATCATGCAATGAAAAACGTTTTGATCTGACACAGTTGTTTTGTGTCCACCTGTAGAGGGTTTGTCCTTGCTTGGAGCGTATGATGATAGTGATGAAGAGGATGATGGAGACTCGCAGATTGTTATGGCGAAGTCAACTGACATCGACAGTACATTGGCAAATTTCATGGCTGTAAGTACAATTTGCATAATATTGTATTGATTTAGAATTAAACAAATAGAAAATATAGTTGTCAGAAATGTAAATTCATGTTGTTCTGATCCCACCACAGGAAATTGATGCAATCACCATCCAGCCAAATTCAGAAGATGCAACATCTCATCCTTCAGTCCCACCCACCAACCCACCCAGACCTGAGGGTAATGCTCAACAGCCAGCCGCCAGTGGGGAACGGGACCAACAAAGCAAAGAGTTTGAGTATAATACTCAGTGCTCACTTGCTGGAGGTAACTATCTGTTCTTTATTTTGGATCAAGGGTTCAAAGCCTGATATCCCACTTATTGACAAAAGACCCTTTTCAAGTATCTCTGTTGCATAAAACTCTTCTGCCATCTAGTGGTTATTTTGGTGTAGCCTACAGTTTGTACCCTAGTTAAATGATTTATCGTCATAACAGTTAAATTACATTTCACAATATTGCCTTATTGTGGTACATCCCCAAAACATATGGTGGATGTATCTGCTTGATACTATGGTATTGGTTTTTAGCATATATTACAAAGATCACCTAAAATATGTCATTATTTTGTTTCAAAGCATCTAATTTATATGTTTTGTTTTGCAGTTGATGTCGAGATGGGAGACTGGCAGGAGGTGTGGGATGAGAACTCTGGCTGCTACTACTACTGGAACACTCTGACCAACGAGGTGTCCTGGGAGCTCCCGCACTATTTAGCCGATCAGATGCAAATCCGCGGGCAGTATGTCAACAGGTAGGAAAAACTGAAAGAGAAGCATTATTATCACAATTTAGTAATAATAAATAAATCCTTCTAGTTACAACATCTTAAGTACAGTTATTTTCACTTTTTTGGATTTGTCTTCAGTACAGCAAGTCAGTGATGTATTTTGTGTATTTCTTTGTAGCTCTAGTCTCAACGGCAATGGCACTGCACATTCAGATCATCACACCAAAGAAAGTGTTGCACCTGCTACAGCCCCGCCATCAGTGAAAGAGACCAAAGTGAAGGCAAGTTTCATTTAAGTGCAACACAAATGTAAATGAGCTTGGCTTATGTCGTGTTTAATACATCATGCTCATATTTCTTTCTTATAGGAGGTAATTGAGAGTGTTGTCGGCCTCACAAGTGAAGAGGAGGACCTCCGTGGAGTCGCTGCATCTCTGCTTGGTCCGCTGATCCCTACTGAAGTGAAAGAAGCAGAGGAAAAATGGAGGAAAATGCTACTTAAAAGCTTGGATGAGCCTGAGGACAGTTTGGATTCTGATGGAGATGGTGTTGGCCCTGCAGGATCCCCCTCCACCCCTCGGTCAGACCCTGACCCAATCCCAACTACCCATAAAGATCCTTCCACCAAGAAGCAGTCGGGAGAAAACTCTGACGCTGAGGAGGAGACGGAGGAAGACACAATAGAGCTGGAACTGGCTCTGGAGAGGAAAAAGGTGGGTTTTAAAGCAGTATTTGATTACTTGCAGGAATAATTTCAACATATATATATATTTTTTGTGCAGCAGTGTTTTGACATTGCATTTAACATGTTGTCTGGATCTTAGGCTGAACTCCGGGCGCTGGAGGATGGTGATGGGAGCGCAGGGGGCTCCAGTCCTTCTTCTGAGACGAGCCAAGAACTTGGTTCTCGTGTCCCTTTAGTGAAGAAGAACCGGTGGAAGACTGCCTTCCCCTCTCTTCCCAGCCCGGAATCCAACAGCAGAGGCTCAGACCTACAGGACAACGCAGAGACTGGTGAGAACAAATAAATATACATTATGCAAGGTGGCGTGCATGACAGACATATTGGACTTATTAAATGTTTTTAGACAACAACTTAAACATCTTTTGTCTCTTTCAGCTCTTCCTACGGTTCTAGAGAGCGTTGCAGAAGGAGAAGACAAGGACATTGACAGTTCTGAGGAGAAAACTGTTGCAAAGCCACCGGCTAAAGAAGAGGTGGAAACACCTGAGCTCAAGGTAACCACAATGTTACCATCACTACTCACAATAATATGACATTTCCTTTTAGAGACATGTTTATAATGATGTCAAAAATGTAGTTTCAGATTGGAGAACTGGCCAACACCTTAACCAGCAAGATGGAGTTCCTTGGGATAAACAAAAAGGCGATTTCAAACTTTCAGTTTCTTCTGCTACAAACTGAGGTGAGAGACCATTTTAAGGCAATACTATCCTGGCCTCCAGTTGATAACCCACATCTAAAATATTTAAAGCCAATTTTTTTTCCCATATCATTTAATGATACATCTCGTGTGGTAGTAGTTAATATTTAAAATCCTCATTATAATCTATCACAAGGTGTCATTCTCGAAAATTACTGTAATTACTCTTTCATCTTACCCATCTATCTTGTGGCTCTTCTGTCTCGATGCATTTTTATCCCTTTACTTCTACTTCCTGCGCTCTATCTAACTCTTGTCTCCTGTCCCTCCCCCTTCTCTCCCCCCCCCCCCCCCCCCGCAGACTCGGATTGCTGACTGGAGGGAAGGCGCTCTGAACGGGATCTATCTTCGCCGCAGGCTTCAGGAAGCTGCCGAACACATAAAATATTACGAACTTAACGCGACTCCTAAAGGCTGGTCCTGCCACTGGGACAGGTACGCGCTCCTTACCTTTCACATCTCTAAACTCCTTCGTCCCCCAAAAATCTTACCGTGTGACTACACCCTTCTCAGGGCCGAGGTTGCAGACTTTGTTACATGACTTGGGGAGAAGCTTAACCAGTCTCAGAGGATCAGAATACTTGCCAGAAACAGACTCTTCAGGTTTCTGTGATGCAATCCTGGCACATACTGATAAGGGAGCATCCACTCTGGGCCAGACGGCTTCCTGTTAAATATTCCTGCCACAGAGGAAACTCCCTGCCCCCATAACACAGACTCTTAAGCCCTTTGTTGTGAGGGCATTTGTAGACTGATTATGGGTCCAGTCAGTGGAAAATATGGGAGGGGGGAATATGGTAGGAAGGTTGGTTGTTTGGGAGAGTTTTGAACTTTACAGGACTACAACCACCAGAATGCAATGCAGCAGAGTGATGCCGTGGAAGCGAGGAGTATCACGCATCAAATAAAAGGTGAAGATGGAGCAATGACGGGATCCAGCAGGTCAGACCTACTCTATTTCATATGTCTTCCTGTTTTTTTTAATATTCTTCTTTCTGATGTTAAACCAGTTGACTGTGCTTGTCATTTTTCTGAACAATGGTTGTTAATGATTCATAATGGTGCTTCCTCCCTGGCGTCTTCCTCTGTCTGGGAGGGAATGGTTGTCTAAAAAATGGAACAAATGTGACAACCATGGTGTGAGCTGCTGAATGCTACTTTCAGGACCTAGAGATGGTTTGAATTGCTTTCTTTGATTTTGAGAGCAAGGTGGGTTCCCTATCCACATCCAAAAGCACTCTCTAATTGGGTTTTTTCGATTTGGACGGCTAAAGTCGCTGTCCTTACCAACACTCCTTCCCTTTATTGTGGCCTTTATGTCCACTCTTGCCCCTCCGTCCCAGGGTATCATGCCAATCAGCCAGTTGCAAGGCCAGTCATTGAAACTCTTGCCTTTTATCTCTCTTGTCCCAATCTTTAGAGAGCACAGGCGATATTTCTATGTGAACGACCGGACCAATGCCTCCCAGTGGGACTTCCCGAAAGAGGAGGACAAGGAGGAGGACCTGAAAGATACCCAGACACAGACTTCCAGTCAAGGGGACAGCAAAACATCCTCTGCATCTGCTGGTGGGGTCACAGGTCAGTCTATTACTACTCCTGCTTCTCCAAAGACCTGCAAATTGACTAAGATATATAAAATATATATTATTGTTCCTTTTTAACAAGTGTGTTTCCTAATAAATATATGCATGGGAGTGAATATTGTATTGATGAATTAAGTGCATATCATGTGACTAAATCCTGTTCCTTATACAGCTGCAAGAAAAAGTATGTGAACCCTATGGAATTACCTGGATTTCTGCATAAGTTGGTCATAAAAT